TCCGGGTACAGAGCCATTTTTAGTTTTTTCAAAAAAAAATTCATATCTCAAAAACTATGAGTCCTAGGTCAAAGCAGTTTGTACAGGCGTGTTTTCCGGTTAATTTTACATATAGTACTAGTTTTTCATAAGAATCAAAAAATGTTGATTTTTTGGTTATAATCAGATATAGTGTTCTGACCTTATTCTTAACTTTATTACTCAATATCTCAAAAACTATGCATCGTAGAGTATTTTAACTTGTTGCATTGTGTTCAGCGCGTAATTTTACGTCTAGAAAACTATATTTTAAGCGTTGTTACGACTTAAGGTAAATTGACCATTTTTACAAATTCTTAAAAATCTCGAAAAAGGATAAAGAATTGTTCAACTTTGAAATTGATCCATATAACGTTTTTTACATATTTAGATGTCCTAAAGGCTCAAAAAGAGCATAAAATCTTATTGGGTCAAGTTTAAAAAATTACGTATTTTTCGAGTTTTTCAAGTAAAAAAATATATTGCTCTTTTGACTTTTAACAACGAATTAATTTTTAATTTGCTCTCTATTCACCTTAGTTCATTATTTTCTTTACTTTCAATTATGTAGTGCAAATTTAATAATTTTTTTATCTTATTTTCAGTTGTTTTGATACGATTTTTTTAGAATTTAACAAGATGTAAAACACTGTATAATATATTTTTATAATAAATAAATAAAACAATTATAAATGAGTATTATTTGCTGATTATTCGCAAATTAGTTTTAGCTAAAAGAAAATAATATTTCATTAATTGCAATAACATTTCAAAAATCGCTTCTTTTCGTAGTTCTACGAAATTTTGATGAGGCTGAAAAACTCCAAACAAAAGATTTCAATAAAGTGAAAAAGCTTCGCAGCTTTTGTCGACATAAATTTATCACTAAATATGTATCGACACAAAGGAAAACTGTTAAAAGTTTTATTATAAAAGCCTTCGTTATGGATTTTCAACTGCATAAAACCCAACACCACAATGGGTGACGACATCGTAAATGGGTAATAATCCGCAAACAGGAAATTAAAAGTCAGAAATAAAATATTTATGGCTATTTAATATTGACGGCAGCAACATTGTTCTAGATTTATTGCAACGGTGAAACTATCAAATATTAAAAATTTTCACCAAGATTTTAGAATTTAGCGTTGACATAAGCTTTCATGTTTTCTTTCAATTTAAAATAGATGTCACTGGCTTTGCAAATTCAACCTTAAGGTCCAAAAAATACACAATAAACCACACAAAACGCGACTTGACACCAAATCTGTATTCATATCGGAGTGTCTGAACCTAAAAAAAATAATGGAAACTGACGGACGGGAATTTCAATCTACGTCTGAATATTTTCTTGTTTATTCAAAATCTGAAACGTATTTCACCCCTTTTCAGTGTTATGTTTTCAGGGTAGAACACTCTAACACGCGGCGTTTATTTTTATGATAAAAAGAAGTTGAGTAAATATTAAGTTCTAGATACTTAATAACAAAAATTCAACCACACATTTTTTCAGGAAAACAATCCGAGTTTTCCTCTTTCAGGAACACTTGAAGACCCTGTAATTGATTTTCGTGCAACATCGACACTTCTTAGTTTCAGTATAATTGATGGACTAATTATTTAATCCTTTCAAGTCCTTATTGCATAATCTGCTACAGTTTACGTGAAGCATCGTCATGAGAGAAAACCTTAAGTCATTATTCTAAAGCTGTTTCAAAGAAAGATAAGTGAAGCTTGAAAATAGCTTTAATCGTCTTATTTCACAGGGCGACAAAAAACACTTTTCGAAAAAAATAATTAGTGTAGCGTAAAGTACAATTAAAATGTGACCATTTATCAAGAATAACATTTTTCGAAATTTCTTTTAGTTTCCGAGTTTTGGAATAAAAAACTTTTAAATGGCAACCCACCATAATATTTTTTTAATCAAAGATTATGATCTGAAAATGACCTGTAATTAAATAAAATTGTTTTTTCAATTCCAGAAAAATACTCGCTATAGAGGTAGAATTTTACATAGAGTAGTATACAAAACAACAGGAGGAATAGAAAAAAAAAATTCACTGCTTCACCACTCAGCACTTTAATTTCAGGTACTCAAAATAGTAATGACAAAAAAATTTAAACTTGTGAAAGATAACAACTCATGGATTGCAATAATCCTGAAAACATTCCATGTTTAGCTGAATATTTCATGACTCGATAATGAAGCATAAGAGGGTTTAGTGGAATGTAGATTACGCATTCTGTTTACAAATAACTCACATTTACACGTTGAAAAATTAATCATTACACATTTTTGCATTAAAGCTCATCAGAAAAGCTGCATCACCACTTCTAATTAAAAACGATTGGAGCTTTCAAGAAGACACAATTAATTTAAAGCTCCGGTGTTTTGATTTTGATAAAATTGAAGTTGAAATTTCAATCTATTTAAAACGAAAGGCTAGGTTCAAAATAAATATAAGTTTTAAGGACAAAGTTAATTTTATTTAGGTGAATTTGCGACAACTTATGAAAGAGTTTTTTTTTCATGCTGGATGAAAGGATAAAGTTGCTGCAACACGATTATATTTTTACATTAACTTTGTGCAATTCATTCTCATTTTTCAATTTTCCCAACACCTGAAAAATGTATAAAGCGTAAAATTATTACTAAATTATGTGTTTTAATTACTACTGCACAATGAAATAGCAATAATTGGGTCAAGAAAAGTTAATTAACTGTCAAGACCAACAACATTTAAAAAACAGGTTTTATTGAAATGTTGTCAGTTTTTCAGAAAGTCCTTTCTGCCATTATTGAATTATTCCTGAACTTGAACCATATGAAAAATTATTCGTGTCTGAAACGCAACCGTCTAACCTTTGACCTTAAACTCCAAACTTGTGTAATCGAAATTAATCCGATATGAACTTTGCCTCCAAATCCAATTGTCCTCATATTTATTTAAGAATAAATCGAAGGAAATTTAAGACAGATGAGCAATTCGAACCGCGTTGTGTCCTGGGATTATTGCAGGAAAAAAAGCGCTTTTTATGAAGGGATTGAGACGAAGGGATAAAGGAAAATGTCAAAGGTTAACTCCGTGAGAAGTTTGGGCTGCGGGATATTATGAAAGCACTGCTTTACTCAAACTGTGCATCAATTTAAGGCCCTTTTTGTTCAAGTGTGAATAACTCAAAATGTTCCTAGAATAATAAAAACCGCTTTATAATGTTAAAAAAATCCCGGTTTTCAGGAATAATGTTTTTGGAAATATTTTTTCAGGCATCCATCAAGGAGGGGTTTTTGTTAAAACAGACATGGTCGTTTCAAAGGTGGAGGAGAAGGTACTTCAAGTTAAAAGGACGCAAATTATACTACGCCAAAGATACAAAGGTAAGGTTTTGAATTTTTTTCATATAAAACAATTTAAAATTTTATAAAATATCAGAAAAACAGAAAATTTCATGACTCAACATTAGGACTTTTTAAACTTTTGATTAATGAAAGTTTGAGCCTTTAACTCGGGAGTTGAATACATTTTTTTTCACTAGTAGTTGTAAAATTTAGTTTGTCGAGAGCTTGTAAAGTTATTTTTCTCATAGTGGTTAATAATCATTTCCATTATTGACCAAGAGCAATAATGAATTAGAGGTGAAATCTAGAATATTTTGAGAATTATTAATAACTTTTATCATCACAAGTAGAACTATTTCGAGATAAAATTAAAGCAAAATTAAATAAAAAAGACTTAAAATTCCTCATTAAAAAAACCCCTTCACTAATCTTTTTTCTAATTAACGATAATAACAAAATAATACTTCCATTTCAAGTTAATAACTCAGGTAAGTTATTAATTACTGTAAATAATAAAAAATCAACTAAAATAATAGTTGTGCATTAAAACATGTTACGTTGAGGAATAAAATGTGATAGTAGTGGAAAAAATATTATACAAAACTCGGTAGAAATAATTTTTTTATAGCCTCTCATTTATTATTTCTGTTTCTACTACACATAGATTAAAAAAAGTACTCGTGTTAATTTGTGTAGTAGAAATAAAATGTTTCATTTCAAATAAAAACCTTGTGTGAGGAACAGTGAACTCAGAATTAAGATTTTTTGCAATATATCACAAGAAAGCATTTAATAAAAATTTCAAGATCATGTTTACAACGATGAGAAAATATCATTTACTGAAAGATACGGAGACGTACAAATAATAAATAAATGATTACAAACGTAACATTGATAAATATTTGAGACAAAATTTTAATATTTAATATTGTATTTTTCCAGTAAAGCAACACGAATTTCGTATGAAAATGCGACATAAAAATGTTAATGAGAGAGTTAATAGCATGTATAATTTTTTAATTGGAATTTCAACACAATTTTTAAGGGCGATTCTATTAAAACACACCTTCCAGAAGTCTGGAAACGATTTTTTTCTCGCGACTATCAATTTTTTTGCTACAAAAATTATAAGTGTACAATGACTATAAAAATGCTATTCAAAAAAATTAAATCAATTATTTGTTTATACTTACGAGATAAACATACTAACAATTTTTTTTAATGGAAACCTACCACATTCATTTTTTTCCTAGTCAACGAGCTCGTTACAAGAAGTGTAATTTTTTTCTAAACCTAACACTTTTTGTAAAAAAAAAATGTTTAACTTGCAAGTATTATTTTTTTTTAATAAACTAACATTTTTTTTGGAAATAAATTGATGAATGTTGAAGAAAGTTTTGTCAACAGATACAGGTGCGCCAGAACTCGCGCCCCAGAGAAAGGTAAGGTACCAGGAACATGGAAAAAATGTTTAAAAAATTTTATCTATAAAAATTACGAGGTTATGAAAGTTTAAAGTTTGTACTTTGACTCTATTTATTTCTGTTGGAAAAATAATTTTCCAAGTTTTTTTGCTATAGGCTATTAGAAGAGGAAACAAGGAAGCTGTATCCTAAATTGTAATTCTGTTCAATATTATTTGTGGCTTTTATTGGCAAAATTTTTGTTCTTTTACTAAATAATTGTAAAAAAACATACAAGATCATCAGTATCATTAAATAGACGTAAAAAAATTTCAAATGTCAAAAATTAAATGTCAAAATTTTTTTTAACATTTTTTTCATGTTCCTGGTATCTTATTTTACTTGAAAATTTTCTCTGGGGCGCGAGTTCTGGCGCACCCTGTATACTTTATAATTTTTTTAACATAAATTGTAACATTTTCAATAAATATTTTTGTACATTTATAAAATGCATAAACATATCTTTGTAAAACAATAAATAAAAAACCGTTTTATTTAAGAAAAACATTAATAGTATGTTAATCTCAAAAGTTTAAACAATTAATTAAAATAAAAAATATTTTAATAACGCTCCTTTACAACCTTTAAACATTTATTAATTTATTTCCAAAAACTCGTAGTTTACTCAAAAAAAACATTTTTTAACAAAAAGTGTTAGGTTTACAAAAAAAAATTACACAGAAAAAACTCTTGTAACAAGTTTGTTGTCTAGAAAAAAATTGTGGTAGGTTACCATTCAAAAAAAATTGTTATTATGTTTATCTAGAAAGTATAAACAATTAATAAATGTTCAAATTTTTTTAATAGCATTTTTATAGTCATTTATTTGCCAAAAAAATTGATAGTTTTACCAAAAAAAAAAAGTTTTCAGTATTCTGGACCATCCTGTATGTATATTATCGTCACGAAAAATTTTCAGTGTTTGTTTACTTAACTAAAACGAGAAAAATGAAAGTTCAAATATGCGTAGTAAAATGCTAAAAAGGTTTCAACATTCAACAAATTGGTATCCACTTTGATGCATCGCAGAAAGTTCAATCAACCTACAAAAATGTAAATTGTGGTATTTTAAAGCACTGAAACTTGCATTGCGCGAACCGAAGAACTCTCGTGGAAAAATTAACAAACAATAGTGTTCAGTCAACGCGCTAATTTATCTACCAAAAGGTTACAACTCTGCTTTTTGACTTTAAAATTGTCGTTAAAAATTTACTAGAAAAAAAATTCTACTCTAAACTTATTAAAGTATCTCACATCGTGAGACAATTTAGTTCAGATTCAGTGGATTAAACGTGATTGGAGCATTGTTTGGGGTTGTTAAGAGGTTTTTGTGTTTCTGGGAATTCTCCCCGTTTGTTTTTGAAAGTCTATTTCCCTGGATAAAGCTGTCGTCATCGTTGCTTTCTGTTAACACACTCTTTCAATAAAGCACTTAAGCTCAGCGCTATTCAGATCTCTTCCAGACGGGAACGTTTTTAGTTTATAATTGAGTCAATTATTTGAGAGATCGTTTGTTCAGGCAAAAACGAGCTGGATACACAAAATCTAAGAAAAAAACCCTAAATGAACTAAAATTGTAGAAAAAAACTTTACAAGATGAGAAACTGGAGTCTGAAAGATAAATATTTGGCAGAAACTTGATTTCCGGCGGCACATTGTTTTATACAGGGTGCGCCAGAACTAGCGCCCCAGAGAGAAAGTCAAATGCCGGCCAAAAAGTGCAGCCGAAGAAGTAATTTTTGTGTGCGAGTTCTGGCGCATCCTGTATTTGATGGAGTTAATGCTACCCAAGTGATTTTACGTTTATTCAGAAAATAGCAATTTTCTAAGTCTGCTTTATTTTTTTCATAATACTAAAGCTCTTTGTTGGTTGAGAATCCCACAAGATTTAATTTTATGTAAAAATTTCAATACAGACAATTACACGCATAATTTTAGAAGAGAATCTGTTAATTCATTTCGAGTTTCATTATGGATTGATTACAGTATTTAATATTTTTGAAAAATTCACTTTCACATCTATACCAGGTGAATAAAAAGTATGGAACCAAACGTTTTTTGTTTAAACTATTTATTTTTTGAAGAAACTAATTGATGAGTGATAAAGTACTATAAAAATGTGATGATTTAACAAGAATAAAATTTTTCGAAATTTCCTTTTGTTTTTGAGTTGTACAAAAAAAATAATTTTTTTAAATGGCAACCCACTATAAAATCATTTTTCTCATAACAGCTATATTCTAAGGATTACAACTACCTGTTTCATATTTAATTTTTTCAAAATTTTTTTTTACATAAATTGCAATTTTGACAAAAAAAAAATCGCATAACTCAAAAACAAAATTTCGTTCTGAAAATACGATCACATTTTTTATATTACTTTAATTTATATTAATTATTATTTTCTGGAGGCAAATGATTAAAAATAAAACCGCTTGGTTCCATACTTTATATTCACCCTGTATAAAGATGCTTGTCCTGACTGACCTATTAACCCACAGCCTAAACCGCTGGAGACAAAAATTTCAAATTTTTACAGTAGATACCTTTTATAACGTAGGAATCCAATAAGAAAGGATTTTTGGAAAATCAACCCCTAAGGGGGTTAAATGGTGTGGTGAATTCGAAGTTTTTAAGCTATAGCCATGAAAATTGGTATTTAGGCTTTCGGTTAAAAATAAAAAAGTACGTATTTTACCATTTTTGGAAAGTTCACCCCCAAGGGGGTTGAACAAGGATAAAAGGTCGTAAAATATTTGTATTTTTTTTAAAGTTAAATCTATGAAAATTGGTATTTGGGTGTTCAGATAAAAACAAAATAGCACGTGTTTCAAGATTTTGGAGAATTCTATCCCTAAGGGGTCAAAAGAAGAGATGAAAATTTGTATAAATATTTATAAATTCGTCATTTTTGAAGTTATATTTATGAAAATTGGGATTTGGACTTTCGGTTACAAATGAAGAAACACGTGTTTTAGGATTTTTGAAAATTCCACCCTCTAGGGGGTTAAACAGGGATGACAATTTGTATTAAAATATGTTATTTATAAAGTTAAATCCTTGAAAATTTGTATTTAGGCTTTCGATTAAAAATCAAGTAATACGTGTTTCAGGATTTTTGGAAATTTCACCCTCAAGGGGGTTGAACAAGGGTAAAACTTCGTAAAATATCCGGTTTTTTTTAAGTTAAATCTATGAAAACTGGTATTTGGGTGTTCAGATAAAAACAAAATAGCACGTGTTTCAAGATTTTGGAGAATTCTAATTCTAAAGGGGTTAAATAAAGGATGAAAGTTTGTATAAATATGTATTATAGTTAAACATGGAATGAAAATTTGTATCAAAATTTGTCATTGTTAAGTAATATCCATGAAATAAGACTTAAAATTTTACGGTTTTTAAATAAGTTATAAAAGACGGACTCTTTATTTTTACTACGAAGTTCATAATAAATTATGTGTTGCTATATTTTGTTAGTAAGTTTCTTAGCCCTTCTGCGTTTTGAAATAGTTGTGGATGTCAAACTACCACGCGAGCGAAGCCGCGGGCAACAGCTAGTATTGAATAAATTAGGGC